TACCAATGTTTTACCAATGTGTTTTAGAAGACATCTTAAAGTGAACTCGGGGAAAAGACCTCATGGTTGCACTGTGTGTGGAAAGATATTTTCTGACATTAGTAACTTAAAAAAACATGTGAAAAGATGTTTTACCAATGTTTTACCAATGTGTTTTAGAAGACATCTTAAAGTGAACTCGGGGAAAAGACCTCATGGTTGCACTGTGTGTGGAAAGATATTTTCCGACATTAGTAACTTAAAAAAACATGAGAGAATCCATTCAATTGAAATAGCTGGTATAGTAAAAACCTGAACTCTTGAAGAAAAATAAATGAAAACATGCATCACACATACTGTTATGTAAATGGAAACTAGAAATTTGTAAAACTTAAACTAAATTTGTTCAGATATTTTGTGTACTTTATTCAGATTGTTTTTCTGTGTAAGTGAAGTCCACTAGCATTTAGTAAACAGTGATCATCTCTTCCACAGGTGAAGGTGGAATTAAAATGATAAAATTTTCACAAAGAATTTAATTTGTTAATCTATCAATAAATACTTATTTGACCTACTTACGTTTTATTATATTGTCATTACTTTTATCCTTCGTGTTTTTAGTTCACAACTCTTTATATTTTTGTAAAGAACTGAAATACTTTTCTGCACTATATTACATTCATGTTTACTATATCACATTGATATTCACTATATCACATTGATATTCACTATATTACATTGATATTCACTATATTACATTCATATATACTATATCACATTCATATTTACTGTCATTTTTAACTATTTTGTGACATTGTAAGGTATTTCAGAGGGCTGCATGGCACAGACAAACGATCAACTCCGATCCAGTTTCTAGACAGGAAAGACCAGCCAGAAGAAGAGAGGTTTTTGTGGTTTCATGCTGCTGTCAGCAACAGAATAGGATACAATAGCTGGGTGGGTAACACATCATATTCAGCTGTACAATTACACTGCAGTTTTTTTGCACTGCACTTATGCTATAACTGTTTAATTGTTATATATAGTTCAACTATATTGCACAGTAAAACCCATGTTCTCTATGTGTGTTGCATATGAGTCATTTCTCTCCATCTTGCTCTCTATGTCATATTGAAGTGATCCAAGTTCATCTAGTCAGCTCATTTGAAATATATATCGTTTTTGTCAGGAACTCGAGGGCTTCTATCACGGACTCGGGGCATGGTACAGGCAGGAATAGAAGGGGACGATCCACTTGCGGCTCCACAGGAAACTGAAGACACTGGAAGCACTATAAACAAAATGAACCACCAGGGGTCAAAACTAAAAAGGGGTATGAAGTAAACTAACAGAACAAAAAAACACAGTCAATGACTCCACGGGGAACAGAGCAGAATCAGGTACTTAAATACACAGGGCTAACAAGGAAACACAGGACAGGTGAGAACAAGGACCGGCACAAGAGAACAGCATTCGAGGCCATTTTGCACAATTTCATGCACCCATCTTTATGGGAACAGTTTTGGGGATGGACCCTTCCGGTTCCAACATGACTACGCAGCAGTGCACAAAGCAAGGTCCATAAGGAAATGGATGAGCGAGTCTGGTTGGAGGAACTTGACTGGCCTGCACAGAGCCCTGACCTCAACCCAATAGAACACCTTTAGGATGAATTAGAGCGGAGACTGTAAGCCAGGCCTTCTCATCCAACATCACATTGACCTCACAAATGCTCTCTTGGCAGAATGGTCAAAAATTCCCATAAACACACTCCTAAATCTTGTGGACAGCCTTCCCAGAAGAGTTGAAGCTGATGTAGCTGCAAAGGGTGGGTCATATTAAAGCCAAGTGTATTAAGAATTGGATGTCATTAAAGTTCATGTGTGTATGTGTAAAGGAAGGTGTCACAATGCTTTTGGCAATATAGTGTATTTCTGCCAGTCTGAGGATGAATAAATCATGATAATTTTAGGGAAAAATAGGCTTAAAATATTATTTTTTGGAAAAAACACTTAGCATTACGCTGAATGACATTTTACTAGGGTACATTCATATGAATCACAATAAAAATGAATTATTGGTTTTATTCTTGAATGGAAGTAATATGAACATAAAAAAGGCTTTTAGGGAACTGTAACTGTGGCAATACTTTTTGTGCTAATTTGAGAACCTTATACATGTCATGTCCTGTCAGCCTTGTCCTCGGTTCTCGGTTCTCCTAGCTAGGGCCACACCTGGGGTTTGTCAGTCTCTTTGTTAGTGTACCTCTCGCTGTAGTTAATTACTCCCAGCTGTCGTATGGCTTATGTATTTAAATGCTCCCTAGTCCGGTACTCACTGGTTTGGTCATTGTTGTTTGTCTGTGTTTCAGTTCCTGTTTTCGCTTCCCTGAATAAAGTCCTCTTTGTGGGGTTTTTCTGCAAGAAGCTGCACTGTTGCTTGTCCCTGCCCTGCGTGTCATAACAATACATAGTTGACCCAGATACCATTGGAAGTTCTATACTATTTTTTCCTTCTCATTGCTCAAGAGGCCATGCATCTGGAGTTTTCAAAACATGCATCTATTACAAAAATTTTGCATTAAGCTTCAGGTGAAAATAATCCAGTCCTCAGAAGACAGCATTACACACGATATACCGACTGCTAAGGATATAAAAGGATATAATGATTCAAAGTACAAAATATCAGTTTTCTGTTTCCTTTATCTTTTAATGATGAACTGTAGTGTGTTTGTTTCTGTTCTGTTTCTGTTTTGCTGTGTTCATGTCATCTGCTGGTGTGGCAATTATATTGTAATGTAATGAACTGCAAGATCATATCAAGCATTGTTAATCCCTAAAATGTCCAATCCTAATATGGAGCCCTGTTGAGTAAGGTTTTATTGTACTTTAACGAGGAAGTATCTATGTGTGTCCTACAGTGGACATGGATAAAATGAATGGATGTATGAATGGATGGGTATACGTATAGAACCAGTGTATATTCAGTTAGAAAGTAGGGCGGATTGTGCGATTGATCCTCCATCCTGTTTCACAAACCACCCCTGGTCGGCGAAAGCGAGGGGACCATGATTTTGTGTAAGTGATGGAATTTAAATCTCGTGATAAAAATAACTGAGTACCCCTGAGTTATCAGTTGTTAGTTCACTCTCCGCGCCGCTGGGTGGCGGTAATGCAGCTAGTTATCGTCGTGCGACCTTTTCCCTAAATAAAGAGGAAGAAGTTGCGTTCTGTGGTATATTTTCTGCGGAAGTCTATGGGCTGGATTACCACAAAGCCACTTAATGTTAGGGATACGGGCAGTTCAAATGTAAAACACAAGCTTATTGGTTTTTTTGTAGCACTGAAATAGTTTGCTTACTTGTATATGTGGGTTGCTTTTTTGTCGTGACATTATTCTTCTACAGTTTTTTTTCGAAGAAGACCGTGTTCTTTATTCTTAAGGTAAATTTTGCATGTTTTTGTTATTTAACTCTATGACCAACTGCAAATGCTACTTGAATAACTGAGTGGTTAGTCTAAAGTTAAAAATAAGTATCAATCCGGGAATTCACTTGGAAATATTTGTGGTGAAGCGGACAGATTTTCAGCGGCATTATCAGTTTGAGGGCTTTTGCATTTATGCCATCGAGTTACAGGAGGTGCAAATCCGCTGCTCCAGTATCCAGATGCGCTTTTTATTTGTAAGAACCATACGTGGCTACACTGTAGAAAACTGTCACGTACCACCATTTCTAAGTTATTTACATACGGTGTAATATGCGTTATTTCTAAATTTCAGCCATTTTAAGCAAACACGTTACTGAAAATATTTAACATTGTTTAAATGTAAAATTCTGGACATTATATATAAGAAAATGAAAACTTTTGCATTATTAATATTTGAAATCATGAAGAATTTTTCAAAATTGAAATGCTGTATTAAAATAATGAAACCATAAGGTATTTTAAAAATACCTTTAAAGTTTAGCTATTTCTAAAGATCTGTCAAAGTTTAGTAAGATTAGTTGGACAAACAACTCAGCTTCTAGTGCATCGGAATTTCCAAACGTTTAATATCTACGGTCGTTGTGTTTACGGAGTAAAAATGCTTCGGATCATAAATGAGCGAATAATCATTTTTTTCCATGACTCAAATCGGATTTTTTGCCTTAATGTGACACAGATCTGATCTTTTCAGGGCTGTGTGGACACGCAAATCTGATCTTTTCAAACCGGATTTGTGCCACTTTCATATGTGGTACTAAATCGGATATGTATCCGATTCGCGGCCATGCGACCTGAATGTGAACGTTCAGATCGGAATTCATGTGGCTTTTTGCTTATACGCATGCGCTGACATCAGCCTGCACCGGCAGCGCAGGAAGGTAAAAATGGAGGAGAGCTGCGATAAGTCAGTGGAAGGATGGAGAAGGTGGGGATTTAATTGATATTTGGGGAAATTAATCTGTTAAAGCTAAACTAGAAGGAAACTATCGTAATAGAGTAGTATTTGAAATAATTGCCAAAGAAATGGCACAGCGCAGTATATCGTTTTCTTTGGCTACAATGCCAAAGAAAAATAAAGAGCCTGAAGTGAAAGTTTAAAGAGGCAACAGACTCGAATCAGCGCAGCGTTCATGGCCGCACAAGGTGCCAATTTTACGACCATCTTTTAACCCGAGTAAAAACGTATCAATGTGCGCATGCGTGACGTTTCGGAGGACCGATGCGTTCACATTACAGTCAGATACAGGTCACTTGTACTTATGAATGTGAACTGTCAAGATAGACAAATCAGTGTGAACGTAGCCTTAGACTTCATTGTAAAAAATGACGATTCATTATGCTAACGACTACTGTTTGAGACCGGGTTTAGTTTATATGATGTGACAGTTAAAATCTGATTCAATAATTAAGTATATATAAATGTGTATACTTGCAAGCTATAGCAAAATGCAGTTGAAATGAATACCTCCAAAAGTGATACATAAATTATTACATTTATGTGATTTCTAATGCAACTAATGTTCACAGGAAAGATCGTCACAAGTTCCCTTTTTCAATAACAAGCAAAGCAACGTACAAGGAAGAGGAGCTCAGAGAACAGCATAGTGAGGGACTGAGCATGTTACACTTGACGTCCTGACCTGCGAAGTGAGGAATCATGGCCTCGTGTGTTAAAAATGAATCTGATCTGAGCTGCACCCATACAGGGGATATTGTTGCTATGCAGAATCCCGGTACTGAGAAGATGGGATTGGGAGTTTGCCTGGAGTATCATCAAACAGAGAAAGGGACTGGTCCAGATTCTGTTTGTCCATCACAGTACAATGACTCTCAGTGCACTAATGGGGTTGAAATTACAATCCACCAGATAAAGTCTGAATCAAATGGAGACATAGTAGTTTCCAATGAATTTGTAGGGGAAAAATCAGACACACAACTAGAATGGGATTGTAATCTTCCTTCATCTCAGAGGAATAAAATTGATTTGAGCAATGGAAGACTTTTGACTACAAGGACAGATAGAAACCTTTATTCAGGTGAAAAAACACTACAGCTGTAGTGAATGTGGAAAGAGTTTTACCACGTTATTCCACTTAACTGTACACAAGAGAGTTCACTCTGGGGAAAAACCATACAGCTGTACCGAATGTGGAAAGAGTTTTACTAACGGAACAAACTTAAATATGCATATGAGAATTCATTCTGGTGAAAAGCCATATAGTTGCACATTGTGTGAGAAAAGTTTTGCACAAAGAAGCGGATTAACAGTACATATGAGAACTCATTCAGAAGAAAAACCAAGTATGTGTGACCATTGTGGGAAACATTTTAAGTGTACCTATTATTTAAAAAAACACCTTAAAGTTCATTCTAGTAAAAAATCACAAGGCAAATTGACAAGAACTGTTAAGACTGAATCTGATTCAGTTTGTGCCAACCCAGCATATACAGCCATCATACAGAGTACCAATGTTGATGAAGTCTATCTGAATGCAGGACAAATCAAATCTGAGCATATTCATCCAGATTATGTTCAAGTGGCAGAAGACCCCAATACACAATGCATCGATAGTGAGAAATTTACTGAAGCAAAACTTGAGTCAAGAGGACGTCTAGCAGTTTTCAAGCACACAGAAAATTCAGATGCAATGCAGGATCTCAGTATTGTCAAGGTGGGATTAGAAGGATGTCTGGATTCTGAGCAAATCAAAACTGAATATATTGATTCAGGCTCTGATCAGTTGAGACATAATGTTCAGTCACAGTTTGCTGATTGTGACAGAACAGGTGTGAAATGTGAATTTAGTGAAGGCATAACAGATTTAATTGATTTTGCAACTAATTCTACGACTGAGGTGTGTAATGAGGATGAAAAACAGAGATTTGAAAGGGATGTATTAACTCCAGATACCAAGCAGTTGTCATTTTCCAGAAATGATCACAATAATCAAAAAAGTTACTGTGTCGACTTATTCCAAATAGAGCAGCACCAGCAGGATAATTCAAATATGAATAAATATGGTTGTTTGGATTGTGGAAAGCATTTTAAAAGCCCTTCTAGCTTAAAAGTACACAAGAGAGTTCACTCTGGGGAAAAACCATACAGCTGTACCGAATGTGGAAAGAGTTTCGCTCAGGCAGTGCACTTAAATATACATATGAGAATTCATTCTGGTGAGAAACCATATAGTTGCACATTGTGTGAGAAAAGTTTTGCACAAGGAAGCGGATTAACAGTACATATGAGAAC